CCCTCTGAACTAACCCTGTATATTTGTTCAATAAACTAGTAGTGATGGCTGGAAAACAGATGTTTTGGGATAAACAATTAGAAATTCTCAAAAACTATTTGAAAAATCGACTCCAATTTTGTTGTGCTTATTTGGAAGTACGAATCCTATGAATTTGAAGAATTTCAAGTATCTGCGGGAAACCATTGTTGCATTACCAACAAGTGCTGAAACTTGCAGTTTGACTCGGTTTTCGGACATATCTTTTTTGCTATTAGTCGGATATTTTTACGTGTGATTTCATTTTGTAAGTCTCATAAATACCTAAAAATCTTATACGAAGAGTTTTTCCGTTCCTGCCAACACTTTCGATTAAATCCCACAAAACACGTTTTCCCATTCTTTGTTGTCGAATAAAAAGTTTTCCCACAAAAATTAGTGTACACATTTTATGGGTCCACGTTTTAAATACTCCCTTGAACAACTTGCAGCAACAAAACCAGACTACAATTATTTCGCAAACCAGGGGTATTATCGTCTGATACTATATGAGGCTGGTAAAGGGGGGAAAGCAGAATGTCGGACAGGCATATTTTGTTATTAAGATCCTTAATTAATGATTTATGAATTGTAAAATTGGCGTAATTGTGATATACTTTTGACCGACATTTCAATCAAAAAGCGTCTGGTAACAATGGTAATGTGCACTGTTGCCGCAGAGAGACATGATTTCTATGTCAGATGTGGAGGAAGCATATACAGGATGTTATTAATTCATCTGAGAAGAACGTTTTATATACTGATGAAACAATTATTCGTATGTTTCGCAATACGACTGCTTCATTCTCTAATAAAAGACAGGTTAGTGAATATTGTTTGGCGTAAGTTTGGAAGGTATACAGTGGAAATTTGGAGATGAGTGCAAATCTCTGAACTTGTTTCCTCGCCACTCGAGATGTATAGGCATGGAAAAGTGAGAACAAATTTGTTTGCTTCAAATATACGAGTACCTAGCAAATAGTTTGAGAGACAGTGACAATTTTTTCGCTTTCAGTTTCTCCTAGGGAAAAGCTATGTCTAGGTCGAAAGGCATTGCGTGTACAAATTACTAGAAAAACCTTCCCTGCCCTATTGTCAGCTGTTATTTAACATCAGTATGAGAGCGTGTATATCTAGCAATACAAAGAATGTTGGTATATTGTTATACCAGTTTAGATTATACAGAGATTTGTTGATTTTTGTAGTGAAAATCGGGATTGGAGGATGCCAGGAGAGTATACATCCCATTAGTTTTCAAGCATATTTAGCCAAATCTTAATGGTTAGCTTAATTTCGTCATATGTTCCAAATAAAGCATGATATCTCACACTATTTGGATGGTTTATTCAAACAATTTGTGGATTTACTTAAGATTTTTTTGCGGAACATTTGAATCCTAAATACCATATATTCACCCATACTGAGACAAGACGACCCAACAAGTTACTAGCGAAATTGAGCAATTGCGTCCTGCTATGAGCATCCCAAGGAAACTTCATTAATCCGACTTCTAAACTGCCAAAGGTTAGTAGGACTGGGAAAAGACTTCTCTTGTAGATTGTTTTACAATTTCGATATCCTAGGGACAAAGGAACGGTCGTATCAGCCAGTTCTGTAGGCACGAAGTTCGACACGGTTAGGATGGGAAGCAAATCCCGTTGGTGTAGAAGTAGAGAAGAGGCATCGATCAGTCGGACAACCCTTTCTATGGACCTCATCGAGCATCGATAATGTAGTCGGTGTGCCAGCACCCCAAACATGTGAGCAGTACTCGAGGTTAGGTCTTATCTGGGCCTCTTAGAAAGTGAGAAGGTCATGTGGAGAAAAGTACTTATTAGACCTAAACTAATAGCCTAGGTTTTTCCCAGCAGCTGCCGCTAGTGACGAGATGTGTTGTGGGATGAGGATGAGAACCCTCGTCAATTACGACGGATAGTGCCTCTCTGGGAGGCCAGGGGTTGGTAGTTTACATAACAGGGCAGCATGGTACAGCTAATCGAATACTTCCGTGATATTAAGAGCAACGACATGAGCCTCACCTTCAGACTGGATGAGTTTACTCCAGAATTGAATGACGTAAGCTAGGAGGTCTTCTGTGGATCACTGGTGTCGGAAACCATACTGCCTGTCGCTAGTCAAGCCGTGACATTTGAGGTGGTCCAGTAGCTCGCGATTTATGCACTTCTCCACCACGTTACTTATGAAAGAACTTCAAAATCTAATCACGACTTCTTGCTTATGTCTAACTCTAGAAAATGATGTTCAAATAAAACCGTTTTACTAGGTGTTACTGAATATATTCATTGTTTACTAAAAACCCCGCGGTATTCAGCGACGTATTGCAATATCGTAGAATACGTGTATTCCTGAAAAATGCTATAGTCTTGGCTTTCATAACCATCACAGCGTATTAGAGGGAGTATTAAGGAGAGTAAGATACCAGAAACTAAAGGCTGTATCGTCGATCTTTACTACAATTATTGTAGGAAGCCTTTATGGCCTCCTCGATTTTCATAGTTTTCTACTATTCCGTGTTAGCGCTCTATTTTGAGGTTATGTCACAAATATCCATTTGCATCAAATTGCTCAGGCTTTTGATTCATATCATGTTTTATCAGCTTAAAACATAACTTCGCAATGGGAGAGCGCTGACACTGACAGGGAACAGTAGAAATCTAGAAATATAGAATAGAAGAGACTATGAGAATCAATGATGCCATAAAGGCGTCCTACAAATGTAGAAACCACTGACGATACGGCCCTAAAAACCAATTTTAAATAATATTATTTTTTATACCGAACCAGTCGCGCAGGCAGAAGCCTAAATGCCAAGACACCGCGGCTGCTATGAGGATCCCAAAGAAATTTTGTTGAGCCGATTTTTGAACTACCTAAGATTAGTTGAACTAGGAAAAGCTTCCTCTGGAAGATTGTTCCATAATCTCGACATTCGAGACAAAGGAGCGGTCGTATCAGCCAGTTCTGCATGTACAAAGTTCAACACGGTTAGGATGAGAGACCGACATCAGGCGGGTCTGTCTGGCAGACACATCGCGCGGCGGCATCGTGGAGGAGAGCTCCTGAGAGCAAATCCCGTTGATGTAACGGTAGAAGAGAGCTGGATCGCGCCGACGCCCCGCCGATGCGAAAGGGTCCCGAGACTGTTTGTTAGAGAAGAGTCATCTATCAGGCCAGCAGCCCTCTTCTGGACAGAATCGAGCATAAATAGTGTAGTCGGTGCGACAGCACCCCAAGCGTCTGAGCAATGAATGAATGAAAGAATCGTGAAATTGGAGGCATTCCGCCCACCATAAGGAGAATGGCTTTGTAAGAAGGCTCTGTATGTCTTGATCTTCTGCTCTCGAGCAGTGTCGCACGACTTGATGAACCAGCCTTTGAACTCTGGTTTAGGCACTTTTACTGTATGAGGAATGTATTGCTCCATTCCGAGGTGGATAATTTCAGTTATCGATGAACAGACAGCCGACGCATCCGCGTCAGCGAAACAATCATCTATCCAAGCAAAGGTGGAAAAGAAGTCTCTGAGCCCCTCCCAGTCTGTATGTCTGTAATGCCTAATTTTGCGGCCTGGCCGAGTTTCTGCTGGCAAAGCAGATTATGACCGAAACCTAACCTCCACAACACCGGTCTGACTTACCCAGGAGAATCAGGACATCAGTGCTGTACGGATGCGTGGTTGGAAAGAGATCCAGCAGGCTACTGGTATGTGACGAGACTCGGGGGAAAAAGTAGGGCTCGTCACCAGCTGGGTCAGCCTTTGAGTAATAGCGAACGCTCCAGCCCAATCAAAGCTCTGGGTATTGAAATCACCGAGAAGAACTACCTCTGAAGCGGGGTGATTGATGTTCTTGACAGCGAGGTATTCAAGTAGGTCATCCTAGCAAATAAGTTCGGGGGATGTTTTGGACGTGAGTCGAAACCACAGAATCCCTTTCCTGATTCTAAAGAAACGCCTCTAGAGCAGGAAAGAATGCTGCGGAAGAAAGCCACTACTCTGCCGTTCTTTGTCAGATTAGAATGCACCTCGTAATTTGGGAAGCTATGATGATTAATCGGTGCAGACTCTGAGTTTTTTGTCTCCGTCAAGAAAAGCATGGCGAGACGATTGGATTGCAGTTAGTGATGAACAGCATCAAGCATCAGTATTGCTGTTAATTCCGCAGATGTTCGTGAAACAAATCTTCGAGTTTACGTCCGGAATTCGTAGTACTCGAGGGATCCCTCATCATTAATTTCCTTGTTTGGGAAGATAACCGACTGCATAGTCACATCTCCTCCGTTATTCCTCAGATTGTAGTTCACCTCGTAATTTTAAAAGCTTAGATTGTTAGTCGGTGCAGATTTTGGTTTCCGTCAAGAAAAGCATGGCGTGAGGATTAGAGTGCAGATAGTGGTGAACAGCATCAATGTTGCTGCGAATTCTTAGTACATCATCATGAATTTCTTTGTTGTGAAGGGACAAGCGAAGAAAGCCGACTACGTAGGTTAGGTGTGGAAACATGCGGACATTTATAATAAGACACACTGCCAAAGGCTGGCGGGTGGTACCGCCTCAGTTGACTGGTCGTTGTTTACCACCTTTTTTCGTGTTAATGATGTTAATTAAACCTAAAGTGGCCCGTTGTCGGACATTTACCGCCACCCAGAAATCGGTACTGAGGTATTCCTTGATGCGTGTACAATCACTTGAGCGGGAAGAAGTTGTATTCTGAATACAACAGCTTGCTGAACAAGCATTTGTCACGGGTCCGCTCAGTGGGGGTTGTATTTCCTCGCAAACTGTACTCAAGTGGAATCAGTTTCGTCATTCCCACGTCTGATTTTCTTAACGACAAATTTCGTTCACAGTTGTATGTCTTATCGTCAGATTGATCTGGTGTCAATGCCTGTGAAAGAAGACAATCCAATTTAGGAAACAATTTTGAAAACCCGTGTACCTGATGTTAGTTAGTCGATATTAAATGTTGAAAGGGTACCAAATACGTTGTCCTAACGGCGTTTGTCCACCGCCGCCGTCACCGTCACGTCACCGAGAACTAGATGACGGCGCCGAAGAAGCGGTACATACATTTACATTACATTACTTAGCCGCGTGTCCACCGCACATCCGTCACCCGAGCGCCGTCATCCCGGCCGCCGAAATTGCGAGTAGATCGGCGTGACCGCTAGATCGTCGCCCGAGATTTTGACGGGCCGATGTGAGGGCAATACAAAACACGTATGAACTTGTCCACACACTGCCGTCGCCGTCGCACCGTACACGAGCTCAGTTATTATTTTGTTTGTAATCAATTATCATTAATTAGTATAACATTGCAATAAAAATGGCGAAAAAATTTAAATACGATATTTATTCATTAACAGAAATTATAGAAAGTAAAGAATGTTTGTGGGATAAAACCAAGGAAGTGTCCAAAGATAAAGTTTTGCGTAGAAATGCATGGCGCGATGTTTGTGCTTTTTTAGAGCCGAACTTTGAGGATATGGACCAGAAAAACAAAGACGAAATTAGTAAATACATGATAGTTTATTATTTATGTTTTTAATTAAGTAATTACAAGTTTAGATTTTATTCATCTGCCAAGGTGAGGAGCCGTTAGCAGTACGCCCACCATGCAGTACACTTCCTTCCCTTGGTAGATCAGACAGCCCATCGTACATAAAAGACATGAACATATCCTCACCTCTGTAGCCATCTTTTTCACGTACAATATTATGCTAAAAGACGCATGCCTTAACTATACTTTTGCTAAGTTTTTTGTTTACATTTAGAGGGCGATGAAATATTCGCCATTTATTGGCCATAATGCCAAATGCACATTCAACGTATCTTCGTGCACGACAATGTCTATAGTTATAAATACGTTTTTTCACATCTAAATGGTTACCGCCAAAAGGACGTAATAAATGTTCAGTCAGCTGGAAAGCTTCATCGCCTAGTATAACATGTGGCATTCTGTTATTTTGAGATGAGTGCAGTGGAACAGGTGGAGGTATACTCAACCTGCCTTCAGTGAGTAGTTGATAGAAGTTTGTACGTTGAAAAATTGCGGAGTCGCAGTCTTTACCGTATGAACCGATATCAACATATACGAATCTGTAATCTGAATCAACTACTGCCAGAAGTACAATTGAGAAATATCCCTTATAATTAAAGTTCATAGTGCCAGATTTCGGAAATGTTTCAATCCGTATGTGTTTTCCATCGACACAACCGATGCAGTTTGGGAAATTAGCTCTTCGTTTAAATCCTTCCACTATTAATAACCATCGCTCAGTAGTAGGCGCAGCCGAGTGTTCACCACTTAAAATAGTCCATATTTGGTGACACACTTGTGTCACTATTCTGCTTATAGTAGAATAAGTTGTCGCCGGTTTAACCTAGCCATCACTTTATTTCTTCGAAAACGCGACTACCACGCATGACAGGTGGAACAAACAAAACCAGCGAAATCGGTCGCGGTGGACAAACGATCGCCGTTACGTCATATTAAACTCGGCCCGAAATAATCTCGTTCTCGGTGACGGTCCGGTGACGGCGGCGGTGGACAAACGCCCATACCGTGTACTGATGTGATCTTTTTTTTTTTTTTTTTTTTTTTTTTATTACTGGCCTTAGGAGTTCTAGCCTATTCGGCCACGAGAGTGATATAAACATGCTCAAATTTATAATAAAACATATAGATCCGCTGCTAGCAATATTGTATAGATCCACATACATACAGGTAACAGGGCCCTACTCAAAACCAGGAAATTATAATAGAAGAACCAAGATTAGGGAGGAACGGGGATACACGTTTCACGTCAAGGTGCCGGTCATGACGACTTTAAAGACAGACAACACAGGCAACGGTTGGTAGGTTTAATAACAGATAGGCAAAAACACAGGTAAAAATAACTCAAGTCACACGACAAACTGTGATCTTTGTTTATATATTGCGAGCACAAGTGCTACCTTGCCGCTCGAGAAGTTTATTCCGACACTTCGATATTGCGAGAGTGCCGCAAGTACGTTCCGCTAGCACTACGCATATGATTTTTAAATATTATATTTTTGTAAAATGAATAAAATCATATGCGTCAGCGTTTGTGCTACTTTGTCGCTCTACAACAGTAAAGCTTTCATTTGAAACACGTTAACTTTGTGCGCCACATTACAAGCAATGACACGTACTTCATTGGTCGATTCTAGAAAAAAGATTCTTAATTCAATCAGATGAAGATTCTAAAATACTGACGCAAACAATATTCAACTGTTGGTTAATTTATAAAATAACACGTCAGCTAATTTTAGGTGACGTCACTCATCTTACTTCCAGATGAATTAATGTAGGTACTTTAAAACTGGAAAGTTTTTTGAGAATTTGGGGAATATGTAGGTGTATATGGTAAAAAATATGCAAATATTGTACAAGTTAAAAATGACCGTCACTAAAAATACACAGCACACAGGTGATATCCTTCATCATTATTAAAGCAGGCAAGCTCTGGTTTTTACAAAATATTCCTCACACCAGTGGTACCTATATTACTAATTATCTTCAATAATTTGTTAAAAAAAATGTCTCTGGAGACCTTCCTCCCACATAAGGTTATTATTAAATACCACTTAAGATAAGTGTCTAAAATATATCACCAAAGCTGGAGCACCCAAATATGTTCTTTCAGCAGTTACCTCCCAAGAAAAAATTCATATTTAAGCCTGTATATAAATGCAACATATATTTGTTGTCAATAAATTTCTTCCCAGTTCACTCATTTGTTTACCCAGATATCAAAAATTTTCATTACATTTTCCCAGCAAGATTGCATTCTGAATTTTGTAATGAGAATATGACTGACACGTATGTTTGGTATTGGACCTCCAAACTTGTTATCCTTAACCATTATTGTGATCCTCAACCACAAACTATTTTTCTGTCAAAACTGTTTATAGACCAACAAAAACTGGTAAATCAATGCAATGAATCGAATAAGCCTGATGCATGCATGTTAAACTATAAAATAACGCGCGGGGCCGGTGTAGCTCGACAAACAAAAACAACATTTGCATGTATGACTGGGGAAATGTTTACCTGCAAGTTTTCACAACGAAATGCGCGCTATCCATGGAAATCGATAGAAAACTTTATAACTCACCAATTGAAGCACCGTGTTGACGACTTCCTTGTTGGACACCTGGCCAACTTCGATGAGCCCAATAAGAACGGCAAATTTTAGGCTATCGTTCATTGCCATTCTTACCACCTCCTCGGGATGTTTTATTTCACTGAGTGGCGGCTTCGATAAGTCTGCCATTGCGAACGGTTTTAAGCACTATAGTTAGTCACTTAACACTAGTAACTTAGTTAATTTCGACACGAAACTCGATTAGCACGGGAAATTTTCCGAAACACGGACGCAACGCGTACTGCTTTCGACCATGTTGGAAAATGACAGAACTGACAATGTAGAGGCCGGCACAAGCATTCCATAGGGGCTTTGAGTTTTCCTTCCTGCTGAAGGGCCGACCTGGCGCTGTCGCTTTTCGTCAGCTGATTCTGACAAAGCTCATCGACTCGGAAAGCTCCGCGTGCTACGGCGTTGCCATATCTCGGGAAATCTCTTCGATGTGGGGAAGGGCCGGACGTCCCTGAGTGAAGCGATCGATAAATTGGTCTATTTAGGTGCATAGCAATTTGCTAAGGGCACGGCCTAGCGTGGATGATGCTACTCAAGTAGAAGATGGTGGGCGGAAATTGAGTTAATTTGAATTCTGTGATTTTCAGTGTTGCACATAACATCCGCGTTTATAATTTTTTTCTGGAAATGTTCGTACTTCCAGTTATGACTTGACAACTTCTCCGGATATGATAAGCTGTCGTCTAAGGCCCGTATCGTCAGTCGTCCCTACAATTGTAGGGCGCCTTTTTGTCCTTGATTGTCATAGTTTTCTACTTCTCCGTATCAAAACTCTATTTTGAGGTTATGTCACAAACATCTATTTGCATCAAGTTGTGCTTGCTTTTGAGTTTTATCATGTTTTATCAGCATGAAATTTCCTACAATTTAAAAAGAAAACATATCTTCACAATAGGAGAGCGCTGGCGCTGACACGGGACAAGTGTAATCTAGAAATTTTTGAAGGAGAGAAAGGAGTATGACAATCAAGGAGGCCATAAACGCGCCCTACAATTGTAGGGACGACTGACGATACGGGCCTACGACTGAAAACGTTACATAATCGAACAAAAAGCAGTATCTGAAACAGGTCATAGTACACCATGTCTCATCAGTTTAACTTATGAAAATGCTGTTAATTTTTTTGACTGTACTTCAATACTTTTATTTACGAGAGACGTCCTATAAAATTGTAATCACACTTTCGTTGGACAAAAGGGTAAGGGAATTTCTTGCAAAAGTTGACGCGAGATGCAGTTGTAACTATACATATACTGGAATTCGCATAACCTTTTAAAGATTCGTTTGGAGCGATATCACAGAAATGATAATGAAAAATGATGCAAAACTATAGGGAATACGAACTCCGCAGGATCTTCTATCACCAATGACGTTTGTCCACTTTTTTACTAAGTATTCATTAAAGGGTGAATATTGAAAGCAAAACTCAATACTCTACTACTCAATAGTGACATGGACACCCCCACTGAACGGGGCCGTGGCAAATGCTTGTTCCGGAAGTTTTTGTAACTCACTAAACAGCTTTTTCTCATTCAAGTGTACACGCGTTAAGGAAGTACTTTAGTACCGATTGCCGAGAAGCGGTACAACTCTGCCAACAGTCCATCTTTAAGCTTACTTAACATCATTAACAAGCAAATAGAAGGTGGTAGACAAGGACTAGTCGACCGAGGCGATACCACACCCGCTAGCTTTTCCCTGGGTGTCTTAGAAATGTCCTCATGTTTCCACACTTAACCTACGTAGTCGGCTTTCTTCGCTTTTCCCTTCACGACAAAGAATTTCACGATGATGTACTAAGAATTCATAGCAACATTGATGCCGGCTGTTCACCACTATCTGCATTCTAATCCCCACGCCATGCTTTTTTTGACGGAAACCAAAATGTGCACCGACTAACAATCTCAGCTTTTCAAATTACGAGGGGCACTCCAATCTGAGGAAGAACGGGGGAGGTGTGACTTTTGCCCGCAGCAGTGGA